CTTAATTGGCAACTGGGGCGAGTTGTCCGTGTCCATCCTGGAAAAGACGGCGTAACTCGAGTCGCCGACATTCGCACTGCTTCGGGCATCATTCGTCGAGCTGTGACAAAAATATGTCCACTGCCTGTTCAACCGATGGGCGAAGATTCGTGACATCGCTGCGATACCAGGTTGGAACCCGCAGGTTCCAAGGCCGGGGCCATGTTCGCGCCATCTATCGTAATACCTCTGTGAATTGTGGAGTGATAAATATGTGTCGCCATCTAGTGACCAAATGTGCGCGAAATAAAATCGTTTTGACACCCCGATCGTTTCCGGCGCCATCTACTTCCGAACTGTTCTTTTTTTTCTTTTTTTTTCCCTTGTCGTCGTCGTTGTAATAAGTTTGGTAAAGTTTTGTAACAATGTAAAAAGTGGAAATATAAGTTTGTAAAGCACAAGACGTTTTTTTTATTGGGAATTTCGGATACAAATAAGGACGAGACCAACGATCCTGCACAAAAACATTTACTGAGTCATTAGACAAGCTTTTGTTAACGGGGGAAAATCATTGAAGCAATGTTAAACTATGAAATAATGAATTTATTTTTGTAAATAGGCCATAAAACAGCACTTTTACTCGTCAAAATTATAATAATGTAAAAACTAGATGAAGCCGGCATTTCGGAGAAGTAATGCCGAAACTAACTCAGAATTTTGAAATTAAAAGTACCTATTGTAAAAGTAAATATTTTCTTCCAATAATTCCTTTAATACAAGGATCTATTAAAGTTAAGTAATTTTTCATGACCAGGTGTTCAATTTTACACGCTTCAAGGAAATGTTTACTCGGACAATAATGAGTTTATTTATCTGTAGACAATGATTGGAATCAAGGTAATTTACTAAAAACCTTATACTAAGTTTGTTACTACAGTTCAGGTTTTATGAATGATAACTGTAATTCTCTAAAGTATATAAAAGTATCGTATTCGGATAATTTGTATAGTAATTAAAGTGGCATAACAAAGTGTGGGAGAGCCTAGCTTGGCAGGAATGGATCGGCTTGACCGGAATGATACCACGGCCTCACAGAAAACAGACGTGAAACAACCACAGCGAGGTGTTTCGCCGCGTGAATGATGTTACTAGAGGCATAATCCTTCCCTAATCTCCAAAATCCTTATCCCAAAAAGGTCGGCAACGCAAACGGCACCGATTGCTTACTATCAGGTAACCCGTCAGTTCGGGGCCGAGTTCTTTTTCACATAAAAAAATAATACTATGGATTTTATGTCTGCTTTTATTCCCATAAGAGTAGGCAATAATTTGAAACAATCATTACGATAGTTATAGTTTCTGTTAAAGTTGTCTTAATTCATTAAAACCCAAGCAAACGTTGGCGTTCGTTCTCGATTACGGATTAATTAAGTTAATCAAGCATGCCTAGTGTGAGTTTTTGCACCGAATCGGTCGCGTTAGGGTTGATTAATAATAGGTTTTCTTTCTATATATGTGACTGTGACGTCATATTCTTAGTGCGAAATTAACATAAGTCATTATCGTCCATTAGCTACATAATTTCTAAGCTCGAAGGTGTATTTCCATAAATAGAAAACACGATAGAAAATGGTTTCTAGTTGTTACTAAACCCTTATTATAATACGTCATAGAATTTTAACAACACGTTGTTAGTACTTCAAATGCTAATGTATATCCGGTGCTATTTACGTAGCTATGTGTTTAATTCTATGTTTCAAAAACTTCCACTACATATTCATACGAGTTATTAAATTAAGAAAATTTTCCATAGTTTCTACAATGTTTCGCGTAATTATTGTGAACTTTATTTGTATAAGGAACAAGGTCGATTATAAATGGATTCATACGAAAACAAATAATGACTTTTTTGATAAATTACACCACTGCAACTGCTTATTAACTATCAAGGTAACAAACAAACAAACCTGCACGTGTTGGTTCAAGCTATTAGGGTCTCTGTCCTCTAGTACTTCTCTCACGTTCTCCGGTTTCGCCGTCATCACGGTTCCGGTTTCACGAGTTTGACGGACAAAAACCGGTTCTTCGGGGACTGGAGTCGGTATCAGCACCGGCGGAGCTGACACCGGCTCGGGTATCTCCGGCAGCAGCTTGGCTCGGTGATCGCAAGCTATGCACTGTCTTGATGTAGTCCTTGTTAGGTTCGGGACGGCTGCACCGCCGGACCCGAGCGGAACGTCCTCAAAGGCCACGGTAAAGGATAGTCTATAATCTCCTTTAGAATTCTCCGAAACAAATAATAGGGATAGCCTTTCTATCTGCTTTTGTCAATGTTAACTGTTTGGAGTTTTTAAGTCCCCTTATAAAGAGTCTAGTTAGTTTTATGAAATAGCCTTTTTTTACAATGTGCTGTTTGTTTCAGTAGGTCGATTGTTATCGTACTTTTTATCACAAAAAATAATCGGTTAAGTAATTAGTTGAAGTCTATTTAGCTGGTTAAAATATTGTTACTTATTATAAAATCTTCGTTTAATTAACTGATTAGATTTTTTTGTATGCACAGAATGAATTTTATTAAATTGTTATTATGATATTTTTTATTTTTCTATTTTAAATGAATGTTTTGTTTAGACAGTGTCCAATACGTTTTTGACGAATTATTTCTGCTAATGTGTACACTACAGTGAAAGCTCGCGCTCAAACTGAAAACTTTTCATCAAGCTTTACTTTCTGACACGCTTTGCGCATGTCTACCTTCCACACTCGTAAATATCAACATGTTGGGTATACATTGACGGTTTTATACCACCTTATTTCCTAACTTTCCTATTAAAGATATAATGGTTGTGTTGTGCAGAGGGGTGTAGTTATTTTTTTATTTTGTTTTTATGAAGTTTTCTACCGGCTACAAGAGAGCGTTGACCGGTAATTCCCTACTTTAAGAATGCCTCTACATGTGATATATTTTTAAAGGTAATAACTTCCGGTACTCATTGGGTAAGCTAAGTAATCGGGTAAAGTCAGGCGATGCTTACCGTAATTATGACGTTTTGTTTTTTTGTAATATACGGTTAACTTTATAGGTAACTTGTAATAGATTGTAATAGTCACATTACGGTAACTAGATAGCAGTTGACAACTTAGGTACGCTATTAGGTAAGGTATTTCAATATGTAGGCAAATATTTGAATAGTAATATAGGTTTAGGAACATTACATTATGGTTGGTTTCGTAGCCTCATTTCATGTAGTTTTATATCAATTTAATTATTTTTATGTGTATTGTATATACAGTAAGTTCTGTCTTATTTACAAAAATATTCCATTAAATGTAGTAATGGAAGTGGACCTGGATCTATTGCTTGTCAAAAACCTTTGTTTTCACGAGAACCATTAACAGTTCCATGATGGAACTACTAATTATTTTTTATTAAAAGCGTAATTTTAGAAGTAGGTATCTAAAAATAATAAAGCTAATTTTAATATTATCAATGTTGGAGTCCCACATACGGATTTTCTCCTCTCTCCTGTATTTTTCGGTTTAACACATACTACATATATGTATAGTATATTTTCTCACCGAAATATGGAACATATTATAGGTCACCCAAATGTCAAAACTGCATAAAATTTTTCAACGATCCATCATGGTTTTATTTACATGATATAATCATTATGCATTATGAGAATACCTCGAAATGTTACGTTGACATTTTAAAACGTGCGACATTTTCAAGTTGGAAAACGTTTGAGTGTGGACTTTTCTTTCATTTTGTTAGCCTTTTTAGAAGTCTGTGCTTTGTTTTTAGAATTTTATGCAGTTGATGTCTTCCAGTAGTCACTTAGGTACTAGTATCCAATTGTTATGGAAATAGCGTATTATTTTAATTAATAGTATTACTAATTACACGATAATATATAACACATGATATTACTAATCGAAAGTCAAAAGTGTTTGATTACGTAATAAAAGAAAAAAATATGTAGCGAATGTTTTAAACAGTAAAACAACCACAGCGTTGTGTGATTTAGGTTACCGCAGGTCCAATACTTTGCCTCCCTTGGTCCCTTCCTAATCAAAAATCTTCGAATCCTAAATCTTAAAAGACCGACAATGCACTTGTAGTTGCGGATGTTCATGGGCAGCGCCGATTGCTTATCATCAGGTTACATAAAAAAAAGGATACTAACCAGCTATTATCAGCCTTATTAAAACTAAACTGATTGAAAACTAACCATGGAGGTTCTTGCTCGTTCTTCTCCACAGGAATCTACACTTTGGAACGAGCAAATAGCTTTACTAGAGGATACACGGACATACTGACATGCTTAAAGTTAAAGCTCTTGAAATACTTTTTTTTTGCTTGACGTTCAAAAATGCCTACTGTGGTCTAATTGAAATAAATGATGACTTTTTTATTATGAAGCATTTGATGACGTCTCACTAAGCTTCATTTAAACACATAAAATAATGTTTCTTCATTATAATAAGTATATGGATGTGATGTCAGATAATAAATATTATATTATTTATATTATAAAAGGGTTCTTTGAGAATAAAACAACAAAAAATAAATTGTTATACAAATCTTTACTCGTAAATAAACGGTTTACATCCTACATTATATACATGCACCGAACATTAGCTTACATGTTATATACAGACGTTATCTCATATTACTTACCTATATTACAAATTTAAAAATCTATTATGGATTTTAAAGTAACATTTTTTATACATATAATATTATTTTAATCAAATCAGAATTATAGCTTTTCAATATTGTAGCTTTTAAGCTACAATATTGAAAAGCTATAATTCTAACATTTTTTATAAACTAACATTTTTATACATATAATATTATTTTAATCAAATCAGAATTATAGCTTTTCAATATTGTAGCTTTTAAGCTACAATATTGAAAAGCTATATTCGTGTTATTGTTTTTGCATTGTCGTATTTATACGACAATGCGAAAACAATAACTGATTTTTAAATTATATTTTATTTATTGTAATATAAAATGCTACCAATAAATCCATTATTATAGAATATGTATTTAATAAAAGTAACAAAATTAATATGAATAATAATATATTAACGATTATTCATAATAAAGTTATATAAGTATATACAATTGAGCCGTTTTATATTAGATTTATTTTAATTTTAATCTTAAATATAAAATACTTGTTGTTTATTTTACTGTTATGTTAAATTTTATTAAACAAAATGAATAAACATTTTAATTTATATTCATTACGTATATTGTGGTATATCTGTATGATAAATATAGATAAATGAATTAACTTATTTATAGGAGTATAAGTATTTCAAATATATGTTTATCATTCATTTTCTTTTTTACTTTATTATTAAGCAATTCGATTCTTCATCCATATTAATTGACCAGCAGACTTAACACGCTCATAAAATAGCACTATTTCCAGTCATTTCCAATATATTTTTATAGTCTATTAAAAACCCTTGAAAAATATTTCTACCTCGATTTAAACACTCTTTAATGATTTCAAATTGTTGTAGCTACCCTAATAATATAACATTATTTTAATAAAAACCGCCCATTATTATTTTTCACATCATAAAGTAGTGCTGCGACAATCGATCAGTGAGTTTGAGTAGGTTTCACGCCTAACCCGGTCACGCCGCACCTCGGTCCGACCGACCCGGAACATTATAGCGAATGATTGATCGAGTCACGACCTGTCACAAAGGTTACTCTAAAGGGGAAGTATCAATTAAGGGACACAATGGAAATGGCAGGATGTCCCATCACGAATGTTATATTAGCTTTCAAAATAGACGAAAAACCAACGTGCTTTGATAGTTTCTGGTAAATAATTCAAATAAAATGCCAGTTTAAGATGATAAGTATAAAAAAATTCGATATGTTTTAGCACCTATCAGTAGTTTTGTCAGAATGTAGCGTCTAACGCAGACTTTTTTTGCATCCTCGCCACATTATAACAGTAAATAGCACCACTAAGTACATAAGGCTAGAGTTAAATCTATATTAAAGCTTCAGTATTTAGCTTACATCGGAAACTATAACTAGTAAGATTACAAACTAAGTATAAGCTGTTTACACAAAAAGAAAATCACACAAATATGACCAAAATAACTCATTCTTTCTTAAAAGCATATTTTCCCCTTGTGTCAACAGCTTCAACAAGTAAAATATAATCTAGATTAAATACAAACTTTTACATAACTTAAGTACATAACAGATGCGAATTAAAGCACTCTTCGGAGTCAATAATTTCACAATAATCGTTAATTAACATTACATTTGGAAGAGAGTACTAAACAATAATACATTGATAACGGAACCTTTGGGGAAATTGGCGACGTACAATTAATTATAGTATAGAGATAAATCATCAATAGAACAGAATTTAAAACAGAGAAAATTGTTAGAAAAACATGAGCTGTTTCGCAGTATGAATCACACTGACTGCTTTATTCGAGCTTGCCTGTAAGAAAGGAATTCATTAAAGGGCAGGTCTACAAGTCTAAGTAAGTAGCCTAAGTAGACGGAGTGACCTCGCCGGCCTCAGGTCAAGAAAGAGAACCAAAGGGTAAATAATAAAAATAGAACAATACATGGTCGCCGACGACCCAAATTTTAGCATGGCGGCTCGCGTGACGCGCAAGCATACAGATTGCTAACACACCCATTCCGGCTTCCACAGAGCACCGGACATTTGCTCGCCTCGTAGCTATAATGACTTCCAAAACTAATTTATAAAAAGGATTACATTTCATTTCATTGTAGTTGTTAGTATCTTAATATTTACTTTTAATTACTATAACGTAGCATTTTTGGATTGGCACTTATCGTGGCCATCGTTAAGTATATAAACGGCAAACCAATAACATATCAGGTAACGAACTCCTAATAAGTATATAGGGTAAATAAATAAAAGTTTACATAGATTACAGTCCAACATATAGATACAAGTTTATGTTTTTATGTGACAAGTCCTCAGATTACATATTTAAGACACTGATGAGTATTTCCAACTTTTATCAGTCTCACTGTTTCCATTCTCAATCAAAGCGCTGTTTAGTGGCCAATGATTCTTAGTAGAGTGGATGTGAGTGAGTGTTGTCGACTCTTGAGTGTCGGTAACTCGTTGTGAGTGAGTGTCAGTGAGTGAGGAGCGCGGTGCGGGCAGGTCCAGCCGGTCGCAGGGTGGGGACAATGGCTGGCTCGTCCTGTTCTGGGTCTCCCTTAGTCGGCTCACTGTAGACGTGACTTGACGTGAGTGAAGAGTTAACTAGAGTGACTGTTTTAGTGTCTTGAAGAAAATAAATGTTATTGAGAAGAAGTCTCTAAAGGTATTAATTTGTCTAGTAAGGGAAGTATGGCGAGTTATTCTATTAAAACGTTTGGTCATTTCCTTTTCCACGTTTTGTTTATTAGGATAGGTTCATTCAATTACATGCAGTTTAAGGAATTTCTATCTACTCTAAAGTACAGGCGTTATAACTAACAGGTTACTAAAAGCTGATTAAACTTTTAACTACGTAATGTTTAAAATTTTCTAAAATTATTCATTCGGAGTTTGAATTTAAATTTGAAACTTTTTGAGGGATTTAAGCATACGGCAAGCACTCACCTTGTATGCGCGCGCGCAGGGTTAATGTTAGGTAATAGCGCTACACCCACACATCACCACCTTGGGAAATACCACACAACAACATTATTACAACTAGCTCAGTATACTGCACTACACATACTAGTAAATACTTCTTAGACAAAACTATTTAATTAAATAATACAGCACATCAAGCTACCCCATTCTTTGAATTTATTCAATAGACTTTCAACTTTAAGGATAACTAATAAAGTCGATAATATATTTAAGAACAAGACCAGCTTGATGTGCAATCAGTACATGTACAATGTACGATCGTCACTTATTTTAATAATAGGCAATTAAAAAAGTTTGCATAAAAAGTATTTGATTTCTTTAAGTAAATAAAACTAACTGTTTAACTAATGAAGTGTTATGTAAACAGTTAAACAGTTTCACGAGCATTAATTTGAAGCCTTTCATATTGTTTCACATGCTTTTTACATAAGTTTAAAGTTTCATGCACATTCAATTACACTAATTATGTTGACAATACTTCATGTCAATGTAAGTATTTTAATTGATTTGATTCTGAACCGCAGTTTCCATTATTTATTTCTTGAAAAATATCCTGAAAGCTAATGTCACTATAACACTATTAAAATTCAGAATGTTTAATAATTTCGTAGACACTATCATTACAAATAACTTTAACTGTATCATTAATGTAAATTTCTTTCTTTCTTTCTTCTTTCTTCTTTCAAAAAAATTTTGTAACAAAGATGGTTTCACGTATTGGCAGTTTAGGTTGAAAACACCAGACAATGAGAGTTTACTTTCAGAATATTTTCATATTTTCTTTTCAGAGTAGTGTAGTAGGGACGTACCTGATCTTGATGGGGTGTCGCAGAGACAGATCAGAGCCGGACGTGGATCGGTCGGCGGCGGGCAGCAAGCGGGGCGCGCGCGGCGTCAGTGGCGAGCCGGAGCTGCGCCCGCGCGCAAACTCGCGGCGATAGTTGTCCGATACCGGGCTTCCGCTGAACGCAGATCCTGAGCCCTCTGTACATTATACACTCTGTGGTTAACTTAGAATATATTCCGTGCACCTTGTCTTAAACGGTATGTCTTTTAAAGAATTAACAATTCAATCCATTATGCCATAATTTTTTATGAACATTAAATTGGATGGCCATTGTAATGGCAGCAATAGTAATCAGATTTTTTTTATTTAAGAAAATATTATAATGGCAAAAATAATTGTTGCGCTACGAGAATGTGTAGCTTGTACGCTACGACGTAGCTCGCGCTACGTAAAAGAAAATGTATTTTCATTTCGTCAAAATTATTCTACCTACCGATTGATTTAAAAGCTGTTTTTTTGTACAATAACATCAGTTAACAATACGAACTCTTTTTAATATTCAGTTAAATTAAAAATGAATGTACATCAATAAGTTATAGCAATAGGCGTGAGAATAAGGCTGCGCACACACTTCCCAGTTTCAAATGCTAGTCTCGGGTAACAAATGGTGGACTTTACAACCAGGTACGTAAGTTTTCCGGCATTATTTTACCGTAGTTTAGGGTAGCCGGTAAATTGAGCGTGTGAAACAGCCTTAATGGTGTCCAAGCCAAGCCTTGCCAACAGTCAGCCTGAACACGAATGTTCTGACTTCCGATGTCCCTGACCTACCTGGCTACTTACGTACTTATAAATAACCTGAATTGTCACAATACACTTGTAACTTTGTCTATGTTTTTACTTTTCAATAAATTTATTTTGCGTATGAGTTAAAGTAGTATTTGTTTGTGTCATAAAAAATATAACGTAATTCATTTTGAAGTAGCAATGACATTCCTAGCTATTGTATTAATAATATCATTAGATTAATTATACCTACTACAATGCCCGGTCAAAGGTAAATAGATCTATTTTGGTTTCAACTTGAAGAAATCATTTACTGAAATCCTTACTACGGTAAAGCAATTAAAAATTACGCATTATGATAGTAGTAGAAGTATTCCTTAAACTTATAAATGTGTTAATATAAACTACAACCTACAGATTAATATAACGTAATTCCTATTTTTATACAATATAGTTTTTATTCAAGTAGGTATGTTTAACTCTCATGGTCGCCACTCGACAGTTATGGCGCTGGTGTCCCAGATCCAAATGCATTAGGGACGGGCGAGACTTGCATTTATTAACTGATATTAATTTACTTTCTAAAAGTTATATTACATATCAGACGTTACCTAACGGCTCGTTCCAATAAGGGTACAAAGCTACCGTTGTTAATTTATCAGATAGCACTGATGTAGCTTGTGATAGTATTTATACAGTAGAAATTAATCTGGTGCCATTACACATATCTTTTTTGACATCTATTAATGACTAGCTACTCTCCTCCCAGTTCGGCTTTTATAGATCTTAGCGTGATGTTTTAACCCTCCTCCTTCCTCGATAAATGGACTAACGCACTCAAAAAGAATTGTTCAATTTGAACCAGTCTTTCTGGAGATTAGCGCGTTCAAACAAACTCTTTAGCTTTATAATATTAGTATATATTTTACAAACACTAGCGCCATCTAGTAATCTAAAAAGGGTTCTCGTTAAATAAGATTTTATACCTCGTGTTATATTCATTCTGGAAGATAGGTACTGACCATTGTAAAGTTGTTGGGATGCGATGGGCATGCGTGCGCAGGCGGCGGGATGCGCGTGCGCAGCCGACCAGTCGCGGTACACACGTGCGCCGCCACTTGTACGCCACGGTGACAGTTCCACGCTGCGAATCTGCAGCGAAACAATAGTATTATAAAAATTAGCTTTCCCGGCACTTAAATTGTACCGAACTTCACTGACAATTTCCGTAACCATTTTTGTATCCTCGGATGAAAACCATACAAGAATCTGCTTAGCAGTTTTTGAGTTCGTCGCGAACGGAAATATCAACGATTGCTTGTGACTCTGTTTTACAAATACGTAAAGATATAAATATATTAATGGCCATTCAGGCTTTTGAAGGTCCTCTATGTTATATTTAACAACCATTTAGTATGTAGTTTTATATTCGGTACCAATCACGGGACCACAAGTACCCGGTCAGTTGGAAGGCGTACGAGGGGCCGAAGTCAACTGCGCAGAGGTCCTTTAGACAACTTTAATCTAGGACACATTATTAAATGTATTTTTATTATTGAAGTACGTACAGGTGTGGAGCTCTTGCTGCGGCCGCTAATCTCGGAGGAGGCGTTGCTGTGTCTCTGGGAGTCACGGGTGCGCTCCGGCGCCGGGGACTCGCGACAGGATCCGTCCGGGGAATCACGAGGCTGGCCAAAGAAAATAAATATATAAATATTTGTTAAATTGGCAGTGCATATCACATTTCTAAGAACGTAGAGAGTAGAGTTAAGCTGAATGAATGCCGCGGCGGTCAGAAACAGATGTTGATAAAAAAGTTACATATATTTACTTAAAATAGTCCTTGATATTACAAGTTATGCAATATGTCTGTCAATGTAAAATTGTAAATACGATTAGATATTTATTTTGTGAGATTGTAAACTGTCGATAATTTTGTGAATCCACTTTAGAATTAAATATTAATATTCGGTAGATTGTAATCGATCGAAATATATTATTCTATTTAATCCAATAAACAATTACAACCAAAAAACAACAACACCATTTTATCATTGATGCAATATTAACAATGTTACAACTTTGTTTTTATTTGTCTATTTATTTTACCTCAATATCGAATGCAATAACAAGCTATTAATATTGCTACTGATGTAAAACAATACAACCATACCATAGAATATAATCGACAAATAACACCATGAAGGTTACACATACTTGTTCTTACAGATTGATGCAAGGTGACCGTCATACGGACGTAGTTAGAATCATTGTTGTTTTAATAATGATCGTCATAATTACATCATGATGTCGCGTTAGAACAGTCTGCTGAGCGAGGCTTTTCTGCTGCCCGAAACGAGATAGGTTTATTGTTGAGAGTTTGAAATGAAGCCTGGCTGGTACATTCGTATATTAAACATGGTTTTGTGATGTATTTGATCAAATATAAAAAAAATATATTAGTACCATGAATAGATAATGTACACAGTAAAGGATGTATAAATAAATATGTAAATAGTAAATAAAGTTTACGATTTGTTTTTTTTTATTTATTTAATTCGGCATTTTTATAATGAAATAATTCTGCCACACTTATAACACAGTCTCATACCTAAATTACTGAAAAAGTATCGATTTAAAAAATTCGAAATTCAACACCTCAATTTTGTAATAAACGCAGCCTCTGCGGGTTTCTGCGGTTCAAGCGTAAGAACGGCCCTGGCCTAGAGTACCTAGGAGAAGGAACGGGATGGATTTAAGTCAGAGTCTTACACCCTGGGCGAGACAAGTCATTGAATGATTTTACCCTCCTAAAAACATACGTACGTACAGGAGGACCAATCCCTTCCCCTCCCCTATCCCTTCCCAATCCTTAAATATCTGCAACCCTTATCTCCAAAAGGCCGGCAACGCAATCCTTTGGTGTGGTCCATGGGCGGTTCCGACTGCTTAGGTACCATCAGGTAATCCGTCAGCTCGTTTGCTGACTTATGCCATAAAAGAAACTCTCGGAAACTAGGTGGGTACTGTGTACCTCTTAAAGAAATAAAACCCATAGCAATATAGACTTTGTTATAATGTAGTTACATCATATTATTACATTGCTCGTTACGTTGGTACTTATCTTAAATTGGCGTTCCATGTCACCTTGGTTCAAGGCACAAGGATGGACGTGTGACATTAATGATTGATGACTCCCAAAGCGCCTCATTAAAACCCGATGATGATTTCAATTAATCAAGAGTCAATATTTGTGTGATGCCTAAGAATGTATGTTTTTATTCCGCGATTAACCAAACACAGCAAAAGAATTTATAACTGGTTTTGCATTTTGATGGTGGTAAAATAATTTATATTTCAAACAAGCTGACCTGGTGGACTTCGGACTACTTCAAAATTAATGTCTTTTTTATTTTTTTAGGATCAAAATTAGCCAAATATTGGCAGCCGTTTTCGAGTTTTAAGGAGCCTAATTACAGCAATTCGTTTCTTAGTTTTCTTTTTAAAGATTTCTATAACTGTACAAATAAATAAATAGTTATTCAACCCGCATATTTTGGAAACATTATTATGATAAGTGTAAGGTGGGCTGCGCAGTATTCTTTACATTTTCGTCTATTACTTGTTTGTTCCGATACTAGTGGACAACTTCAGGCTAATGAGTTACGACATAATATTTAAAATTTAATGTTATTTAATATTTCGATTTAAAAATCTAATTAAATCATTAAATTATGTAGGTATGTGAAGTGTGATAAGTTCAAACTCTGTAGTAGACTATCAGTTAAATTGGTAGGTCACAACAAAATTCTGTAATATGTAAGTTACCTTGGTGTGATGTGTGGTGTGTGCAGGCATGCTGTTGGCGCCGCTGCTGACTAGTCGCAATTGTTGCCGAATGTTCGCCTTCTCCCTCGCACGCTTCCTCTGGAACTCCTCTTCCACTCTGAGGAGGTGTGTTCATATTAAATTATAAAACTTCTTATATTTAACCCAAATTTAATAAAGAAGGTTTTCTACATTTTCAATCAGATTAATGTCATGATATTTATTGTAAGTAAACACTTCATGTACCTCCTCATGGCCTCCAGCTCGGTTCTTCTCTGTTGCTCCTTGAGGTCAGCCTCCTTGGAAAGCTTCTCAGCCAGACGCCGTCTCTCCAGCTGTCGCACCGTGGACTGGAACGTGAACCGCTTGCCACGACCTGTCGCGTTTGAGGAGCGCTGTAACAAAATGAAATAACGTTAGATTTTGCACAGTACATAATTTGTACATAAAACATTGAAAGAAGTACTGTGTATATGAGAAATTAAAACAAGGGATCTCTCCTATTTGTATAATCTTCTTTTTTAATGTATTTTGCGGTATTTTTTGCATGAAATTTATGTTGACGATCTTGAAGCTGAAGTTGCTTTGGCATAAATAATGTATAATTCGTATAGCGTTGCTAGTAACCTAGTACCTAATAAATAGATAAACACTCAATATGCTACAAAAGTTAGTGACAGAACCGAATTTCTACAATAGCAACTCCATGTAATCTTGTCCGGCCTTTCCCTGAAGTGTAATTTAGAATCGCGTCATTGCTAAAATTTAAACTTATTAAATATAATTAAACAATAGATTAAACATACAACAAAGCTTAGCTTTGCTGTAACACTAACAATATCCTGTAAACATTTTAATATTATACTGGATTTTTAGACGTTAATCTTCAAGACGTTATATCATAATTTTGCAGCACGTGTATAACTCCTTCATTATGTTAAACATTGTACTAGGTATGCCTAGGTATGTGACCCCCTGGCCTGTTATCCGGAGTGCATCAGATAGCAAGGTTGTCGGTAGCGAAGCCCCCATGTCACCGCACTGCCGCGCCCTCCTCACATACCGACCTTGTGAGACTTACATAAGTACACAATAACTTATGGTAAATAGCATTATCTACATTGTTATAAAAAGAACACTATTTTAGTATTTGTTCAAAAATATGTTGGAGAACTAAAATAATTTTTGAACAACAAATCTTGATGTTGGTAAAGACAAATAGTTTCACTAAATAACTAACAGACATATACACTATACAGTAAAATTTTTCTATTGTAATATTTACCATTCAAAATGTTGATTTATTGGTAAAAATACTAGTTTACCCTTGACTTATAAGTTAAAATTTAGAATTTGCTGTTCTCTACAACAGACCCTATATTACACAGACCCATATTTTAGCTGGTTCGAAAATGAAAAATTAACGCATTTAGTGCCCACGGGTGGACAAAATCCTCCTCTTTCATGGAGAACGTTTAACTGTTAGCGATTAGCGATTTCAAACTCATAATTAGAAATTGTAAATCTAAATTTAGTCATGATTTCTTCTCCCACCCATGGCAGTATTGTTTAATTACCTGCCAGGTTTAGAACTCGCAATCTCTTGGCTTAGAAGCAGACACCTTAAACTCATTACAACAAAAAAAAAAAATCTTTAATAGAACAAAAAGCTCGATAATTATTAACTATAGCCACTCTCGCGCGGTTTCACCCGCTGCTCGGCTTCATTTAATCATAGCGTGATGTTTTATAGCCTATATCACTCAGGAACATTGTAGCTATCTATCAGTGAAAGAATTTTGGCAATCCGACCAGCGGTTCCACTGATTAACCCTACATACAAACTTACAAACATACAAACTTACAAATTACTCTTTATAATATTAGTATAGATATAACTGTCGAAAGAAAGATTTATCAACGGTATTTGCGATACATTACTTCTCGGTACGTTTCAAAACGGCACTAGATACATATTATCTGTTATCCGAGCAGATTTATTTTAACTACTATCTTATGTAAACGCGATAGTTTAGATACAATCTTAATGTTAAAATACTTTACAAAATCAATTGTGTAGCCATTTCCGCATCACAAAGACTCAGCTTATCTGATGAGCGGTGATTCACACCTTTGGGACTGGATACTGGTCAGCAACTGGTGATTACAGACCAGGGAATGAAATAGAGACTATTCCTGATAGAATAATAATAATTTTGGTCTTTTAATTTTGTGTATTTACTTCAAGTTAATGTTTTTAAATATCCTTGTTGTGTCAAATACTTGACGAACAATTTTTGCCGTAACCTTCAAAAACAAGGTTTGCTTGGTACTTGGTACAATACCTCAATCAAATTTTAATACATTATCAAGAATATTGCCAAAATTTTTAAATAAAGATCTGATCACGTTGCCTAACGTATCATAAGTATAATCATCAAATTGTGTATCTCTTTGTATTTTTAACGCCGTATCTAGTATAAGCTAATGAAAGTAAAGGTGTGAATATTAGCGAGATTGCGCGTACGCAGTTGGAACTGCGTCGCTGTATTCAGAGCGTGTGACCCGCGGCGCGCGCGCAGCGTGTAGGAAGTTCACTAGATACAACAACATAGATGTGTAACGTGTTTTGTAATTACTTGTATTGAGACACAAATCGTAATTTAGATTATATGCGAAGTATTTTCCTAAGACCTACGTAAGCTAGGTGCGAGGTAAATTCGCTTGATGGATGGATGATGATGGAGAGTGGCAATCACGATAGCGTCTGTGTTCCTCTACTTTGTAAATTGGGTCGACGAGATAACGTCTTGCCAGAGTGTTAACAAATTCACGAGGTGTGAAGTAATTTTCCCATAAAATAACGCAGGTGTGGAATAAATTGCGAACAATATCTGAGTGGTTTTAATGGTGTGCTCAACAATAAGTGTGTAGGAAGCGCGCGTCATAGATAGCGCCCCGAGGATGCCGCACTATGATGCGCTAATTTATAGATCGCTATCGCGCGCAGGTTGCATCCTCTGCGCTTGCGCAACCGACCTTTGTTACATTACTTTTATTTAATGGTACTACACTTTGAATGTTATTTAGTTTGATTTCAATTATTTAATGGTTTACAGTGAGATTTAATGGTAGTTTGTTTTATATTGTGTTGTTAATTAAAAGGCTTATTGACAGATTATAGTTTGTATAGTAAAATAAATAAGGTATAGATCGACAAATAACAGAACCGGACTTTAAATTCTTGCATAATAATTGTTACAAAGTCCTTCAAAGAACATAAAATGTAATATGTTACTAGGTAAATATTCCAATGTTAATATTTATCTTTGAAGCTAAACTAATTGCGATACTGTCCTCATTTGGTCACACGACACGGTCACAGCTAGTATATACTAGTTCTCTGCTTGGAGAACTTCAAGTGTTGACATTAGATCGCCAATGACGCGCACAAAATATTTGCTTGTTTAATGACTTTCCAAATGATCACCAAAAAACTGGAAACGCCAACACGAATGATGAGACGTTGAAAAAGCATATCTTTGGTTTGATTGTTTGGTTAAATATCAATAGTCATTACATTGATGGTTTTTATATTATTTGAAAACATGTTAGTGTGCTTACATGTTCTTAGAGCTTTAGAAAACGAATTGTCTGAACAAATTTGAAGGCAGCTGTATAGTAGGTACCTATAAAGATTTTAAGACCTACTGAACTCAATAAAAGTAACGTGTTAATGCCACAACACTAACCTAAATTACCTGAGAAAAGCTCGACTAGTTTCAAGTCAACAACGGGACTCTTATTCACGAGAAGCTGATTATTTCGTTGTTATCAGTAGGTAAACTTAAATAATTTTTCCAAAACTTTCAAAACAAAGACATGAGTCAAATAAGGTACTGAATAAAGTCTATAGTTTGTGTATGAAACATAAATGTACCTAGATAGTACCTATTTTTAAAATTATAGTTATCTAAATTTAAAGTTTAATATCATAAACTACTAGTTGAGTTAACAAGACTAAGTACTAAGACGGATAAAAACAAACACGTAGGTTCGACAACGTTTATTTACAGTAGTAAACAAAGGATCCACGTCGATTGTGATCTGCTGAGATGGTTAGTGAGAGATGCGGTTACACGTAAATACAGTCACGTGCATCAAGATTGGGCACGCAAAATACATCTGTATAGGGCCGTATTAGAGAGCCTGTGGGCCCCTAAAAAGCTTTTAAGGGGCCCCCTGATCTCCCCTTCCCTATGACTATTTTACATTCTTTATATATCATTAATACATATTTCATTCCAGATATGGTATTAGGTGCACATTATTCAAAGTAACGTCTATTTTTTACAACATTTTTTTTAAAGGAACTATTTTTATTGTCCTGTTTATACCGGGAACAGTTCTAACCTTAGTGCTTGTGAAAATTGCGAAATGAAAAACGGTGATTAATGCTCTAAGCATTATAATTTTTTCTTCATCCCCTAAGTTAAAAATACGCTATAAGATTGAAGTGAGTATGATAATGAGGACCTCCTTTTTGCATGGGGCCTATAGCCATCGCTACGGAGTACGGCCCTGTACAAGTGCGGTCATGTGCCATTGGCAGCGTGATTCGCTGGCGTGACAGTTGAACTGGGAAGGGCACGCTGGGAACTGAATCTGTACTTGAGAAATTAAAACTTTAACGAACAATTTTTTATGTACCTTAGATTTTTTGTACTTATCTTTGTTCTCTGTGCGTGTTTTGTCTTTTAAGTTTATTTTTATTTTATTTTAAATGTTAATTTTCCTTTGTATTATAACTAAGGCATTCGAAAATCGAAAACTTAGTTATTATAAAATTCATTTATTGTGACTTAATAGAAAGATACTCAATACGTCAAAGATAAGCCAGCTAACATTTCATAACAAGACAAAACAGACGCTGTCTTCCTAACAACATAGTCAAGTTGCTAAACTTTATGGAGGCACAAACAATGCGCTGTTCAGTGTGTATTAAGTAATTCTAATTTACACACCCAGGGGACAATAGTATACTCACTGTAGCCAGTTCCTACAATTTAAAGTAGAACGCTTAAGTAATAACTTGTGAAAGCTAGACAGACTAGCCTCAAAAGCATGCGGTAATGTGACAATGGAAGATGGGCCCCACCAACTTATAATGAACCCTAACTTAGTCGTACTTAGTTAATTTTATCAATCATATAAAGCTCTTGAAATACTGGTTTCGTTGACACCTGTCAAATGGTATTTAGAAGATTTTGTCATGTTTACACAATAATTACTTTGCAAGTTGACACGGAATTTACAGTGTAACGAAGTGGAATTAGTTTGTTTAAATATTTTAGATTTATGACGCGTAACTGGGTAAGTAGAGTAGGTAGATATT